GAAGGTGGGTGAAAAAGAGGAAGCCCCTCGATGAGATGGACTGCATAGTGGCCGTGGCAGTGGACTCGAACAGCAACTGTGAGGATGGCACAGCACTGGACAGGGTTTCGATCTGTTGTGCATGGTGTCACTAGAAGTGAGAACAACTTGACAGTGCCTAACTAACTCAATATAGAAACTAACGAGCGGAGAAAGAGAAGTCCAAAGCTGGGGAAGAGATTGGGAAAAGGAGTGGTAATCGTATAAAACCCAAGTCTTTAACTTCTCCCTGCGTTCTTTTGGCCCAATGCCAATTTTGGAAGCACTGAAAAACAGCAACGTAAAGCATAAATAGATTACTGGCCAAGGAACACCTGCAGCTGCTAAATTATAGAACATGTAATATATATATATATTTTAGAACAGGTAGTATAATCTTGAGTCTGTAACCCATAACTTTCATCTTTGTTGACTGTAGTTACATGCATTATCTCAATTTTTACAACAAATTAAAAAAAAATCAATTTATTGGGGCTAATTTTTACAACAAATGATAATATTTTACAGTTTAAGAAACTGAGGCTTCAAGGAAATTACATAACTTGCCTAAGACCACATAGCTATGAAGTATAAGAGCTACTTTTCTGCAAGGGGATGTCCAATTGGCCACAAATGGGCCCTGGGTCCCCACTTCGTACTCCCCTTCATTCACAATGCTGATTTTTTTCTTTTGTCTTTGATGCCTGATACCTGATCCCTTCAAAATGAGGAGCTGATACCAACGGCTCAAGTAGAAAGCAAATGCTTTAAGAATGATGAGGGAAACAAATGTATAAAAGTGCTTTACACAATGGATGTATGTGTGGATTATGATAAGAGTTGTACAAGCCCCCAGTAAAATGATTTGATTTTTTTTTAAAGAGCCAGTTTTCAATTTGGAACTAAATCAGGTAATTTTACAGAATTAGAAGGTTGGAAGATGGACAGAACCGTTGAATCCTAGGTAGCAAGGAGTTCAAATATATCTAAATTATAGAGTAGCCTGACTTCAGCACCACCCTTTTACACTGCTGTAAGATCAGCACACAATGCTACTGGACTCAGTGCTGGCATAGACAATTCTTCTACTACCGTCTTTGTGTCATTCTTTAAAGTTCTGAGTCCTGGATGGGGACATCTAATTGGCTTGGTCTCCCTCTGTGTTAATATTCTAGCTGCCAGGAGGTGGAGATGAGTATCTGGCATATTTGACTTCTGTAGTACACTGTCGGGCCCTACTTCCCACTGAGGCTGGCACAATGAAAGCTGTACCCAGTCAGGAAGAGTATTTGGATGCTAGACAGCAATACAGGGGTAGAAGTCTACCATACCAACCATAGCTATTCTGATACAGATGTCCATGTGGTCTTCTGTTGAGGACTGGTTGAAATGAGCAGCTGTCCCTGCTCCCATAAGCCTGGCTGTTGTCCCCAGACAGGATCTGCCTAACGGAGGACAGACAATAAGACTATCGAGCATTGCACAAAATACAGGAGCTTTCACATGGGGATCTCTGGCTGTTCTGAATCACTGAAATGGAGCCCCACAGAAATGAGTGAGCAGAATCAGGCAGCTGGTAAGGTTAATCTGAGCTGGGAGCATACAGAAGAGGGACTCTGGGGAGAATTCCTATCTAAATTCCAAGCTTGATTGATCCTTAGTATGGTGTCTTGAGACCTTTGATTTGTCTGATATGTTATTGGGCAATATTTTGCTCTAGCTTTATGAGATTAGTCATAAAAAACATTTTTTCTGGTTGTAAGAAAGAAAAGGAATTATGCACGTGACTGATCTGCCTTTTGTTCTTTCTTCCTTCCCCTTCCTTGCTTACTTTTGCTACAATGCAGACACTCTTTGGCCAGTTTTTATCTGTAGAGGTGTCTACAGAGTTGGATGAACCCACTCAGTAAGCTGAGCAATTCCAAGCTTTTGTGATAAAAATTACAGCCCCTTCCATTCTCTGACTGAGATCTTAGAGTGTTCTCGCGCACTGAGTACTGAGCCTGCAAAAGGCCACTGTCTCTTAAGAGTTCTCATTCTTACATCCCCCAAGGCTCACTGCAGGGAGCCTGGGTGACTTAGTGGGCTGCTAACCCCATCCTAGGGACAAAGGTGTGGCTTTCTGCTCCTGTAAAGATTTATGGCCTCAGAAGCCACAGCTACAATTTTCTGTCCTACAGGGTTATTATGAACCGACTTTCTCAAGGACCGTGAGTTCAGCTTGATTTATGTTCATAACTTTTTATAATGGTGATTTTTTTTCTAGCATATATTATCATCTTTAAGAGTTTAAAAGCAAATGACCAGATTCTTTCTTAATTGTCTTATTGGGGGCTCATACAACTCTTATCACAACCCATACATACATACATTGTGTAAAGCACATTTGTACATTTGTTGCCCTCATTCTCAAAACATTTGTTCTCCACTTAAGCCCCTGGCATCAGCTCCTCATTTCCCCG